ATTATTATTATTATTATTATTATTATTATTATTATTATTATTATTATTATTATTATTATTATTATTATTATTATTATTATTATTATTATTATTATTATTATTATTATTATTATTATTATTATTATTATTATTACTATTATTATTATTATTATTATTATTATCATTATTATTATTATTATTATCATTAATTATTATTATTATTAATTATTGTTATTATAACTTGGAAAGCGGTATCTTGTCATTTCAAAAAGAATTTGATTTTTAGGCAATTTGATGCAAAATTTGTTGCATAAAAATACGAGTAAAATACTCAAAAAACATACCCATAACTCAATGCAAATTTATAGCTAATCAATGCATTATATACTGCATAACATAACAGACAATGTTAAACTTAGCTATATAAAATTCATCTAAACTTTGTTTAATTGAGCGAAAAATTTTGAGTGGAATTAAATTTTAGCAATGAAAAAAAAAAAATTAGTTGAGAGGTAGAGAGAAAAAAAAAGATGGAAATTTCCACATAAGCAGAATGAGTGGAAGAAAAAGAGGGAAGAAAGACGAAAAAAAAATGAAGAAATGATTAGCTTACTTGAAAAGGAAATAGAAGAAATAGAAGAAGAATAATGCGAATTGATAAAAAGCAGCTAGAAGGTAGTTAAGCATTTTGAAGCTTATGAAGGAAAATCTGTAAAAATGTTGACAGCTGGCTTTAAGTTCATTACACTGTTAAACAGCACGAGCACTAAAAGTATTGTAATGGATCAGATAGAGGAATGAGATGAAGGAAATTGAAAGAAAAAAAAAAAAGGAAGGAAAGAAGGTAAGAAGGAATGATTGAAGCAACTTATCCTAGTAGTTAAGTTTTTTTTTTTCTTTTTCTTCTCCAATGATCAAAAATAACTAGCCTTGAAGATCTGGAAGATGAAATTTGAATACGAATGTTATTGTTTTTTCCTTGTAAAAAAATATTATTATGCATTCCATATTATTACATAGTTATAATGATAAGAGGAAATGATAATATATCACAAAAGGAGAGAAAAAAAAAGGAAAAGAGGAAGTATTGCTAAATTTTTTTTGCTTTGCCTATTTTTCATTTGAAAAATGAAAACCAAAAAAATGCGAATTTTTAAATATATGGTAAGAATAATTTAAATTAAGTATTAATTTAAAATATTAGAGGAAACAAACAAATAAGCAAATAAACAAGCAAGCAAGCAAACAAAACAAACAAACAAGCAATGCTAATTGTACAAAGTATTTGTTAGGAATGGTGAAAAAATTAAATTAATATTTTGTAAAAATAAAATTTTGAAGAAAAAAGTTTGACTTTTTATTTTTATTGTTTTCATTTTATTTGTTAGATCGTATAAAGTGGAAAAAAAAGAATAATTTTTAAATTTCAACTTCCAGCTACATTTTTTTCATTATTTTTTACATAAATCAGAATTTTTAACATATGAGAGCAGAGAGGAGGGATTGAAATTGAGTAACAGTTTACAATTTTAATTTAATATTGGTCATAATTCATAATATGTTTAGGTTGTTTTCTTCGGCTTATAAATCTTCTGAATGCCTGTATGCATTGTTCCTTCGACACTGTTTGTACTACTTCAAGATGCACTGCTCTAGTTGTCAAGCATGTAAACAAAGCCACCCATCGTTTAATTTTGATCTGATTCTCTTTTATTATAATTGGACCAAATAAGTCTACACCAGTGATTTCAAATGGTCGGGTTGCAGTGATTCTAGCAGTGGGATAGGGTGGAAAATCTGGTTGTTCAAATGGCGTAACTACCCACATGGCACAACCTCT